ACCCCTCAGGAAATGTCCAACTGCTGGTTTAGGCGGCAGTCGTACAACCCTCTCAAAATCCAGGACTGCTGGCTCCCAACCACTCACCTTCCTGCCAGCCTGATCACCCCCTAACCACTCCCCTGCCAGCCTGATCACCCCTAACCACTCCCCTGCCAGCCTGATTGACGACTGACTGCTCCCCTGCCGGCCCGATTGCCCCCAACTGCCCTCCCCTGCTGGCTTGGTCACCCCCAACTGCCCTCCTTCCCCTGCTGGCCTGATCACCCACAACTTCCCTCCCCTACTGGCCATCTTGTGACCACATGGGGGCGGCCATCTTGTGCAAGGGTGTGATGGTCAATTTGCATATTACTTCTTTATTATATAGGATATGAGTTGTTCTGCATTGTGTTGTGGGTTTTTTTGGATACATAATTCCAATCTGTATTGTTCCTTAGACTCATTGACTTTGAAATCTAAACCAGAAAGCAACACTGACATATGTGTCACTTTTATAAAACTAAGTACAGACCTCAGAGATACTGTAGGGTCAGTTACAACCAAAGCAATAAAGCAAATATCACAATATAAAGTGAGCCACATAAATTTTTTGGTTTCCAAATGCATATGAAAGTGTTTACACTGTATTATAATCTAGCATATATGCAATAGCATTTATGTCTTAAAATGTACATAATTTGCCCTAACCAGTTTGGCTCAGTGGACAGAGCATTCGGCCCTCAAACCAAAGGGTCCCAGATTCTATTCCAGTCAAGAGCATAAACCTCAGTTGCGGGCTCAATCACCAGCCCTGGTCAGGGCATGTGCAGGAGACAACCAATTTATGTATCTCTTTCACATGGAGGTTTATCTCTCTCTCTCTCTCTCTCTCTCTCTCTCTCTCTCTCCCTCTGTATTTCCCCCTCCCACTTTCTCTAAAAAAAATAAAAATAAAAAAAAATCAATGGAAAAATATCCTCAGGTTAACAACATATCCTTAGGATTAACAACAACAAGAAAAATGTACATACCTTAATTCAAAATACTTTTTATTGCTAAAAATGCTAACATTCACCTCATCCCTCAGTGAGTCATAAATTATTTGTGGGTGAAGGGTCTACCTTAAATTTTAAGGAATGCAATAGTCGCAAAACTCAATAAAGTGAAGTGCAACAAAACCAGGTATAGTAAGACTTCACTTAACATCATTGATAAGTTATTGGAAATGTGATAAAAACAACACATTTACCACAGGCTAATTGCTAAATATGAGTTAAGTTCCCACCACATCTCATCAACATTATAACAAAACAAGGTTGAACAAAACTATCCTATATAATAAAAGGGTAATATGCAAATCGACCAAACAGCAGAATAACTGGTCAGTATGACCCGCACTAACCACCAGGGGGAAGACGCTCAATGCAGGAGCTGCCCCCTAGTGGTCAGCCCAGAAGCCGAACTCATGGCTGGTGAGCGCAGCGGCAGTGGCGGGAGCCTCTCCCACCTTCGAGACAGCACTAAGGATGTCCGACTGACAGCTTAGGCCCACTCCCCACGGGGATCGGGCCTAAGCCATCAGTGGGACATCCCCCGAGGGCTCCCAGACTGTGAGTAGGCGCAGGTCGGGCTGAGGGACGCCCCCTTCCCCCGAGTGCACGAATCTCGTGCACTGGGCCTCTAGTGTTATATAAGGACCTGCTGTATTCCTATAATTACTTGGTGTTATTCAATTAGTTTTGTCACCAAAACTGAGATGGCCCAAGTAGAATTGGAATTTCGTAAAAGGGAAGTTATTCTTGGAAATTTCACCTTACATCCTATGAATATGCAGTTTTGCATACACACTAGATAATGAGCAATTTCTTCACAAGTTCCACTCAATTTCTTCCTTTCTCCTATACTGAATTGCCTAATTTGACCTTACAGCCACCATGGAGATGATGAAGTTCCCTTTATAAGCAATCATCACATTTAAAATCATCTTTTCCCACAAGCCAGTTTCAATTACCTAACTTAGACAATACTTTATCAGCTCACAGAGTAGCTATTATATAACTATATCAACATGTATCTGTGATTTCTATTATAATTCTGTGATTTCTTAGTTATCACTCCACCATGACTAAAAATAAGTGAAAAAAAGATTTAACCTTTGAGATAATTTAAAAGAGAAAGACTTAGTCCTGTTCATCTTTGTTTACTATCACTTAAAAAAGGAATTACCACAGGCTAAATGCTTGGTAAGGTATGTAACTGAATGAGAAGAACCCACTGGTAAACATTTCTGAGAACAAGGAAGATGGGTGTTTCTGAGTACCCTGCCTGTGCTTTCACTCCCATTGTCAGCCTACCTCTATGAGGCCATTACTAGGTCGAAGAGGAGGCTTAAAAATACAACACAGGCTTTGGAAAAAAAACACTAGTTCTGTTCTGTTTCCCAATACGAAAACCAGTAATGCCTATAGGGTTTGTAAAGAGTTTGATTTTATTAATCCTTTTGTCCCTTATATAGGAAAGCTGCAGGAGATTTTCTTTTTTTTTCTTTTTTTAAAAATATATTTTATTGATTTTTTTACAGAGAGGAAGGGAGAGAGATAGAGAGTTAGAAACATCGATGAGAGAGAAACATCGATTAGCTGCCTCCCGCACATCTCCTACTGGAGATGTGCCCGCAACCCAGGTGCATGCCCTTGACCGGAATCGAACCCGGGACCTTTCAGTCCGCAGGCCGACGCTCTATCCACTGAGCCAAACCGGTTTCGGCTGCAGGAGATTTTCTTCACTGATTGTCAAATTAACAGGTTTTAAAAATGATGTGGCTGAAAAATAATTTCTAGTTCTGCAAAGGGATACGTGTATACTTAAATGCATTCTATATATCAAAACTAAACACCATGGTAACCAGTAACTGTAGTGGATTCTGTGAAATGCCTTCCATTGAATTAATCTAGAGTATGTTTATTTTTCTCTTATTCCCCTTTTGCTTTAGGCTTTTCATCGATTTATTTTATCCTAATATCCTTTCACACTGACATAGGAAATATATGATGACAGAAAATAACATGTGTGTCATTGAGATACTGGTTCAAAGCTGGTACATAAACAATTAAGTCTCCTTTGTAGTAAGTTATATTCCACAGGTGGTTAAAGACACATTAGTATTAGGAAGCTATAAGCCATACATTTTATATTATTTTTCTAGTTATGATATAAGTGAAAAAATGATTTAACTCTGAGATCATTTAAAATTATATATTTTAAAGGAAAACAAAAACATGAGCCATTTTGAAAACAACAAAGCTTGTTTAACTGAAAGTTCTTTGAAGAAATATCAATGCTTCTCCAACATTTAAAAGGTAAAAGAGAAGAGGAGGAAAAAAGTGAAAGCAGTTACAACTCTGTGAATATAACACCACCCCCAAATTCAAGATGAATTTCACAGCTTGTTATAAAACTAACATTCAAGCCTCAGACTCTGGGCTTGAGCTCCGGGTAAATTAAAGTTTCAGCATCCAGACATTCCCTAAAGAGATGAAATCTGGACTTGCCACAGTGAAAGATACAATAGGAATGTAGTACAATTGTTCAAATACCCATCACACGCTTGTATTGAAATTACATCTGTTTTTTACAACACACGATGCTTGTAATTCCTTAGCCAGAGTTTAAACCATGTTCTAAGTCCTCAGTCACTGGTCTAAGGCAACTTTTCAGCTTTCGCTTCTCACAGTGTAAACAAGTTAAAATAGCCCAGCCTATATTCTTCAGTGGTTGGGCATCACCCTATGAAACAGGAGGTCCAGGTTGGGGCACGTGCCTAGGACAGTGATGTCGAACCTTTTGAGCTCGGTGTGTCAGCATTTTGAAAAACCCTAACTTAACTCTGGTGCCGTGTCACATATAGAAATTTTTTGATATTTGCAACCATAGTAAAACAAAGATGTATATTTTTGATAATTATTTTATATAATTAAATGCCATTTAACAAAGAAAAATCAACCAAAAAAATGAGTTTGTATGTCACCTCTGACACGCGTGTCATAGGTTCGCCATCACTGGCCTAGGATGTGGCCTCAATCCCTAGTAGGAGGCCTGCAGAAGGCAGCCAATCAAAGATTCTCTCATTATTGATATTTCTATCTCTTTCTCCCTCTCCCTTTATCTCTGAAATAAATAAAAATATATTGGAAAAAAATATTGCTGGTGGGTCACTAGGAATAATAGTGAGTGGCACCACTACTATATAAAATAAATACTTCACCACGTAATCATTAGGTGGGTAAATAAATGAGAATGTGGTAAAACTCCCACAAGTTAAATGTGTATGGTTAGTGTCCCTGGGAAGGACCTGACGCACTTTGCCTGTCCATAGCAGAAGCCCATCAACCACTAGCTGCAAAATCAATTCATAATATGTATTTGAGTATATTAAAACAAAATAATTCTTTCACAGAAAAAAGCAGCAGAATGAGAGAAACTCATATAACATTTTAAGTTTTTAAGGATATATGATCTATAAAAGGATGAAGTCATATTAACAAACAATATAAAATTTTCACATCTGAATGTGCAAATATTGAAGGGAAGGAACCATAGGCCACAGAGTAGGAAGTAAGCTATAGCTTGTCTTACTTTTTAAAATACCAAACATAGTCATAAAAATCTTACAAAATTAAGGAACTAAATAAACATAAACAATAAGCTCTTTCCCTCAACTTTGCAAATTCATCTGGAGTTATGACACTAAAGTCTATCATTGATTTATAGCAAAGTAAAATGCCTGTACAGATGTAATGAACAATAAATTTATTAGGATAATTTGAATGCTTGATTTCTTCATCAGCTTAAGTGCCTTCTGTGATTATGATATATACATATGAATTAAGTGGCAGTTGCCACAAATGAAAATATTTCCATTAAGCATATGCTAAATCAACACCACTCTATATCTGAGCATAAATGAAGATAAAACACTCCACATTACGATTCAATTAAAAACCTCCAAGATACATTACCTGCCGCCTCGAGCACTGAAAGGCACTACATGGATTCCCAGAGGCCCTCCATCGTTGGGGACGTGTACGAGCTTTACCATATCACTGTGAGACAATGATGAATGAGGGAGCATGAACATGGACTGTAAACAAACCAAACCGAAACAACAAAACAAAACAAAAAAAAACACAGACAATAACACAGACACACAATAAACAACAAAAGAGAACAACAACAAAAAAAATCCCACCAAGCACACAAGCATGTACATACACATTCTGGAATATAGCATGGTGATGAAGGCAACATTAAACACTACATACCCGAACACTAGTCTGACGGCATGGAGGGAGAACAATCATCAGAAATAACTACATTAAAAATGACACAGAACCATTTCTCTGGGACCATACTCTTCTGTGTAATACAAGTACGCATTTTCAAGTCAAATCTCTAGATTTCCAATGAAAATTTTCCATCCCAATATCTACTTCAAGGGCAAAGAAGATTAACTGAATAAAGGTGTTCCAAGCTACAGAGCACTTTATAATTTACAAAGAGCTCGTAAATATGTCACATCATTGACCCTTCCAATAATCCAATAAAGTTAAAGTTTTTACTCCTGTGGACTGGTGACAGTCCAAATGTAATCCAGCAATCCTGACTTCCCACCATTCCATAACAGTTTAAGTTGCCATTTCTTAAACCACTGCAAGTGCAGGTTATGAAACTCCTTTTTCAAAGCCAATAGATTTCCAATAAAAAACAAATCATTTTCATAAAAGTGTTTGCAAATGGACATTAAAGTAATGAAGCTATTTATATAAAGTAACTTCTATTATATGAAGTTACTTCTATTATATAAATAAAGTAATTTACTATTAATATAATAAGCCCAAGTTTAATGCAAGCTGGTATAATTTAGAGAATGTAAACTTTCCAAACCATTTAAATGAGATTTTACTTTCTTTGTAGATTTTGTCGTGTGTGTGTGTGTGTGTGTGTGTGTGTGTGTGTGTGTGTGTGTTGGGGGGGGTGGGAAGGAGGGGAGGGTACTGCATAGAAATCTAAGCAGTACTTATCTAACAAGCAATATTTGGAAATAGTATTTTAATTAAATATCTAGTTTAAGTAACACTAACAACCATAAATGATTATCAATGGATTTGAGAAAGATCACAATATAGTTCTTATATATATATAATGGAAAATGCAAATTCTTAAACTTCCTAAATAAAAGCCTGAGGTCATCCTATGTACTATGTATGTTCTGGTTATATAAGACAAAGGCTAAAGAAAAATAAAGATAGGAATATTGAGTGAAAACAAAATTGAAAATATGTGCATAGATTTAATCACATATACTAATTAGGACAAAATAAAAAAAATTAGCCATATTAAAGTAACACTAAATGGATTTTTATTTCAAAAAATATTTTCATAGAATTTTATAACATCCTATTTTAGATACTATTTACAATTTACACATTTTTTAATGATTGGTTTGTCCACTAAAAATAGTGTAGTTACTCTAATAATTATTGCTATTCTACGTTTTCTCTAAAAAGAACTATGACATGGCAAGTATTTCTTAAAAGAAAATACTTAGTGCTGGTTTCTCTATATCCAAACATAATCTGATTCTAGTGCCTAATCTCACTGAGGAAGTTCTTAGAAACTTCTCTTGGAAGACCCAAAGAAGAAAGAGTTCAAATGTTAATGTCTAGATCCCCTAACTTTTACCGATAGTCAAAGAAAAAAATTCAAAATGACTGATCTCCCTGATAACCCCTTCCATTTAAACATGCCAATATTTAAGATAATTGTACAGTTGTGATAATAATATAAGAAAATTTTACTCTGTCCTTTCATACTTAAAATCATGTTCAGGTCCCTAACCTATGACCTATAATTTTTCAAATGCCTTTGAGAGATTCTATTTTTTCAAATCAAAATATATATGCTAAAATAGCTAATGCTTATATGATTCAAATAGTTTTTCAGTTAAAGTATGTTTATAATTTTTTTTAATTTAGCTAAGTTGCACAACAAATGACCAAAATACTGACATACAAAGCAATCAAAATTAACAGCTGAAGTGCTGTAAACTCAGCAAACATTTTTAATCAAACACTATTTTATATTATAACTTAATAGTATTTGCTAAGGCATGAAACTCAGGACAGAGACATGTGAATTTCCATGCTATTCTTTTTACATTAGATAATAACACAATCGATGAAAGATGCTCTTTGGAAAACAAACTAATGCAAGGCATGTTTTTAACTCAGCACAAACATCCTACACATGCCATATGTTTTTGGAACACTTTCTACTATCAGTGATGCTGCAGGTATATTACATATTTAATTAAAACCATCAGTAACTTACTCCAGAGAAAAGTTGGGAATGTTCTCCAAACCACTGTCAGCATGTCCAACAGGTTCAACACGACTGTTGTCTTCTGTCCCATCCTCATCCTAAAAACATGACACAAAGAGAAGCACACTCTGTGTTAGATCTATTTCTAAAATGTGAAAGAAAGCTGGATAAAAGTGGAGTCTGGCAGGCATTATGATCATATTATAATTAGGTATTTTCTCTAATGAAGATGACTTTTAATAATAAGATGGGTATGTATTTATGAAAAGTTGCATTTCAAAGCAATAGTCAACTGATTTAGCATTTCCCAGGAGGTGAAAAAGATACCAATGCAATAAGAAAACATTAGAAGTTCTATTTAATGTTAACTTTATCATTTTTACTTCACTTTTTGGTGTATATTTTAGGAAGTAATTACATGTTACTACAATGTTATAGTATATTAATATATCAATATATTAATAAATATATGTACATGACACTGAGTATGTATGTTTAAAATTCTTACTAAATAGTTGAGACCATTATAATCCTTAATGACTACCAAAATTTGCAAAGTCATATTTGTCAGTCCCTAAATTCCACTAACACATCTTGGCAAAATGAGTATGCAGTAAGTACAATACTTGACTCAAACCCTTCATCCTATGAAATATCATTTAAAATTACTGAGCCAACTGACTAGAGTTACCTGAAAAGGCATTAAGATCTTAGTTTTAAAGAATCACTTCTGCTTACTTCTGTTAATGAAGGACCAAGTAAAAGGTAAAGCACACAGAACATAATCAACACTCACCTTGGTATCCTTACTTTTACAAAGGCAGTATCATGTAAAAATTATGTTCCAACATGTTGTACAAATTGGGATTGGGTAAGATGCTGATACTCCAAAAGGTGCCATGTGGAATAAATGTGATGGTTTATAAAAACAAATAAAACGTTACCCAAGACTATACCTTTTTTTATATAATCGTGGTCATTGTTTTTTCACTAGGGAGTTCACTAACAGTTAAGCCGCCTTCTCAGGATCATTTGAATAATGATAAACATGCCTGACTGACATCAGTGGTCTTCTTAACCAAATTAGAATATTTAGGAAAGACTCAGAGTTCCAAACACTGTGGCTAAGAGGCTCTTGTGGGCTTTACCTTGGACCACAGTGTTTTGGGCACCTACTAGATACTCTGTAAATACTTTGCTAATAGAAACAAAACCACACCTAAATACAATTTACTTAATCGACTGGTATTTCTTGGAAGTTTATGTATATAATTAATGTATACAAATAACCTGTGAAGTTTATCCTTTCAACTATATAAATTAGATAACAGTAATTTTATACGTGAACTTATACAACCACCTATATGAGATTCCATCATTAGCAAAAATTTTATATGTTTAAACATGTATTTGAGAGGCTCATAATAGAAATGTGTATGCTGTCAACAGAGACATCAATCAACAAAATGATAAGCAAAGCTTATATGTTCAATTCACAGTGTCAAACAATATTACAGATTATTGAAGCAATATTAAGGCAAAGTAAAGCAGTTGATAATGTCCAACTGACATTTCCTCTAAGAATCGAATTTTTCTGAGTTGTAGATGGGCCCACATAGCCTCACTGGTAGGTCACTGCATAAAGCCAAGCTACTTCAAGATATGATCCTGTGCTTTTAGAGGCTCCAATATGCACTTCTTAGTCATTTACCTCTTTTCAGCACCAGCTTACATTTCAAAGTTAACCAACATCTTGAACCTGCCTAAGAACCACACTTTGAAATAAACAATTCCCAAAAGTATGCTTTTCCTTTGGGATTGAAAATAGGGGAGGAGAGCAAAGTGACTAAATCAGATTAAAAACATAAAGATAATCTTACAATTTAAAGACACTTTGTTTCAGTATTTATGAATAACTTAAGCACCACTGAAATACCACAATATATGAGCAACTGAAACACCTACGTTGCACTATGAAAAGCAGTCATATAAATGAAATGCCCCAAACGGAAGTGGTAAACAGTTACTGATAGTCTACACACTCATTGTTCCCACAGTGGCCATTATCAGGCCTCCAAGAGTGAGTAGAATATTATTTCATGAAGCTGCATATGATGTTCAGTTTAGATTGCAATACTCACTGACCTGAGGCTGGGCTGCAATTAGGGTGGGAGCCACAACTTAGAATTTCCCAATTTCTGGATGTGGAAATGTTAGCTCCTATATTGCTTTAGTTTTTGTTTTATACTTTTAAAAAGCAGTGACTGAACATAGTTAATTTTAACAAGAGTTATACACTGAATTCCATTATAAGCAGTCCAGTAGTCCTCCCTGATCTGAAGGGGGTACATTCCAAGACCCTCAGTGGGTGACTGAAACCACAGAAAGTTCCAAACGCTATATATACTATGTTTTTTGCCTATAAATACATATCTATGATAAAAGTTAAGTTATACAGTAAGGAATTGACAAAAATAATAAAAATAATAATTAAAATATACTGTAATAAGATTTATGTGAATGTGGACACCCTTCCCCCTCACATGAGGGATCTGATAAGTGCCTAATGGGCAGGGTGAGTATACAGCCTAGAGACACTGGACAAAGGAGTGAGTCATGTCCCAAGGGGGACAAAATGTGAAGACCCACAACTTAAAACTTATAAATTGTTTATTTATAGAGTTTTCCATTTAATATTTTTGGACTGCTATTGACAGTGGGTAAGTGAAACCATAGAAAGCAAAACCATGGGTAAAGGAGACTACTGTAAATGAATATTGGTGTTATTTATGTCAAATTAATAGTGAAGGGCCATAGTATTAATGCAAAGTACACAATGTTTAAAAAATCTCCAGGTGAGTTGATATAGTCAATATACTTTTAAATTCTTTCTCTTTTCTCCATTTCATAGGAGGCTGTAGTGGTTAAGAACTCGGATTAGAGAATTAAACAGACCTGGGTTTCAATGCCATCTCTACCATATGCCAATTTTATATCCTTAGGCAAGTTATACAGCTCTTTATATTTCTATCCCTCCTTCTTCTGTAAAATAGGGGAAAAAAATCTTCTTCATAGGACAATTGGGAGGAATAAAATGGTGCCTGACACATAGTAATTGCCCAATAAATGTTAACTATTATTGAAAAGAAAAATAGATGACATATAAAATATACCTCAATAAATATTTCGTAGTAACTTTACACAACTCCAAGATATTTTAAGAATACATATTCATCCATTCATACCCTGTGCCTTGCAATACAATTTAATATTAAACATATTACCTACTCAAATACATCACGTAGCATGTATATTCTAGAAACTTGCATAAAACCTGATATTTGTTGTGCTTTACTGCACACAAAGTAATTTCATTATAAAATGCCCTGGCTGGTTTGGCTCAGTGGATAAAGCATTGGCCTAGGGACTGAAGGGTCCCAAGTTCAATTCTGGTCAAGGGCACATGCCTGGGTTGCGGGCTTGATTCCCAGTAGGGGAGTATAGGAGGCAGCCGATCAATAATTCTCTCTCATCATTGATGTTTCTATCTCTCTCTCCCTCTCCCTTCTTCTCTGAAATCAATAAAAATATATTTTTTAAAAAGCCTTTAGAATAAAAAAACATATTAAAAAATATAAGCAAACAAATACTGTATACAATCAAGTAAATGGCAGGAGGGGGAAAACACTATGGGTGACTGGTTGAAGAAATTTTCAAACAGAAAACAGATGTCAAGGGCTGAAAAGGGTCTAGGACAGCCGTGGGCAAACTACGGCCCGCGGGCCGAATCCGGCCCGTTTGAAATGAATAAAACTAAAATAAAAAAAGACCGTACCCTTTTATGTAATGATGTTTACTTTGAATTTATATTAGTTCACACAAACACTCCATCCATGCTTTTGTTCCGGCCCTCCGGTCCAGTTTAAGAACCCATTGTGGCCCTCGAGTCAAAAAGTTTGCCCACCCCTGGTCTAGGATCTCACCCAACTTGAAAAGTCCTAAGTTAGCTTGCCATGGTTCCATGTGTGCTAGCTTAAGAAACAAGACTCCTTGTTTGAGACAAAGAACTGCTTATTACAGCAATAGCATTAGTCAGAGTATAATCCTTTTATGCACTGGTTCTTCAATCTAAAATTTTCACAAGGTGATGTGAAAAGGGCCAGGGGACACTGGCACACATAGAAGAAATATGAGCTTATGGAATGAGAATTTCTTATACACTCATTAAGCACTAGAGGCCCGGTGCACAAAATTAGTGCACTGGGGTGGGGGTGGGGTGGGGGTTGTCCCTCAGCCCAGCCTGCATCCTCTCCAATCTGGGACCCCTCGGGGGATGTCCGGCTACGGGTTTAGGCCCGATCTGATCCCTGTGGGATCGGGCCTAAACCGGTAGTCGGACATCCCTCTCACAATCCGGGACTGCTGGCTTCCAACCGCTTGCCTGCCTGCCTGCCTGATTGCCCTTAACCACTTCTGCCTGCCAGCATGATCACTCCCTAACCACTCCCCTGCCAGCATGATCGACGCCTGACTGCTCCCCTGCCGACCCGATTGCCCCCAACTGCCCTCCCCTGTCAGCCTGATTTTGCCCCCAACTGCCCTCCCCTGCCAGCCTGATTTTGCCCCTAACTGCCCTCCCCTGCAGGCCTGATCACCCACAACTGCCCTCCCCTGCCAGCCATCTTGTGGTGGCCATCTTGTGACCACAGGGGGCAACCATCTTGTGCGAGGGCGTGACAGTCAATTTGCATATTACCTCTTTATTATATAGGATGCCTGCTCATTGCTATGGAGGGAGACACTGCCTATCTTCCAAAGCTGTTTGCTACGCACTGCCATATGGCAGCATTTATATGATTAATAATGAACTAGATAAACCTAGGAATATCATTAAGAAATGCCCTAAGATAATGTCTTCATTGTTAGGAACTAACAATAATATTAAATTTTATTAGATAAAAGAACCATCCCTCCTATATCAAGAAAAAAATTATCTTTCAGTTAGAACTCTACAGCATCCTTCAAAGAAATAAAATCAGTAATTGCATAACATAATTTTACTTCATAGTCATTATATTCCACTAGAGTAGCAACATCC